TAATTAACTGATTTAATAGGAACAATGAAAAACTTTCCATATATGAAGTATAAAAAAACCAAAGGTCAGTGTACCACAAATAGCTGATCAAAAGCCACGAGAAAGGCAAATGCACATGGCACATTTTACATATCAAATTATATAAAATAGGCCCAAAAATAATGAAATAAACTTATTAAAAATGTATTAATAAACATTATTACATTAATTTACTACCTCATAATATATTTTAATTACATTTTTTGGGTTAATCCAACAACAAAAGTTGCCAAACATTTTTTTTCTAGAAATGCAGTTCTAACATAATGCAGTTAATAATTGAATGCATAAAGTGTAGGGTAAAATAAGCCTAAAATAGGGAAACACTATGGTCATAGGCACATTACAAAGCAAACACACAGTAGAGGAATGTCTGAGCACTGAACATTAAAATGGTAAGACTCTCTTTGGGACCACCTGGAGCTGTGAAGCCAATCTGACATTCAAATGAATGAGATACCTCATGGACGACTGGCCATTGATTTAAACTGCAGGATAGAAGAAAGGTCTGTATGAAAACTCCTATCATTGTGAGACACTTGAAGAGCAAATGCTTCATTGTATCTCTAAGTTCTGGTGGGACCTTCTGGAATATGTCGCACAAAGAAATGAATTTATGTAAAGAGTAAAGTCTTACCACTGTTTGCTCGTAGTATTGGATCCCAGGAGCCTCAACGCCAAGTTGAGCTTCTCATCCAACAACAATGGACCAAGTTCAATGGAATTACACTTCAAACAAAAGAGAAGTGAATAACAAAACACAGGCTTTGTTGCCAATATCCTTCAAACTTTAACAGCTTTATGTTGCAATCACGCGTTTATAGATAATCAAAAGTTGTTAAATAGTACGGAATCCTGACGAGCGCGTCTTCACGTACTGACTGTTCAAAGCGCGATGGCGCACTAATGCAGCTCGAGCGTTCACTGTCCTGTGTCGACGCCCCGCCCACAACCCCGCCCCCGCAGCGCCCCGCCTCCTTGTATCAGCATGAGCGTTGCGCTCCGCCCATTTCAATGTAAACTCAGTCCCCCATTGCCTCTTAAAGGACCAGTATGGATTAAAGGACCAGTATGGAATTTACAACCAAATCCACAACTGTAGTCTAATATATTGAGATTGTATTTGGCGTCCATTTATATTAATTTAAAGCTGCATATCATATATCCACAAGTTTTTATACACATTAATTACACTTATATTAACAATTTGTATAACTATTAAATAGTATTATTTTTATTATCAATGACAATATCTATTATAATATACAATCAATATATTATATAATTTATATTAATAGTAAACATAGATGGTGAGATTTAAAGAAATATAAATAATTTCACAAATTGGTTTGTTTGACTTTAATTCCTTTTATTTTGAAAATAATATAATTCTGTCATCAGGTCATCTTCTTATTATATATTTTTTCCTCCAAAGACAAATAATTTTAGCCAAAGCCAGATGATCATTGACAGCTCAAGAGCTCCTTCAGGTGATTGTTTCTTTTTTATATATTGTCTAATACAGAATATACATATTTAATCACAGAGTACACCCTTGGCACTAAACACTTATTATAATACAATATATCCCATTTTAGGCATTTTAAAAGTCCTTGGATTCAGCACTGGTATATAATATTGATGAAGTAATCCAGACCCCAGGAAAACACAAAAATAAACATTTTAAATTAACAAATATTATATGTAAAAAAAAAAAACAATAATAAAAAAATTAACTAAAACAAGACCAACAGTAACAATAATCACCTTTTGTCTGAGAATTTAAAAAAAAACTAAATTTCTGTTTGATTGCAGCTGTGGTTACAGTTACCAAGTGGATTGATGTTGACGCAATAACCACACTAAACAAATGGGACAAACCCAACCACATACATCCTCTTCAGCCGGGTGATTCACAGGGACATATGACTCCAGTGGTCATATTTGCAAACTGGCATACAATGAAATGCGGGCCCTTTAAACATCTTTACGTTATAAAAAATAAACATGTATGTCTGAATAGACCTTTATTTCCACTCGCTATTTTTAAAACACATCTTTTGGTTTAAGTCCTACACAGATTTGAAAGGCAAAATGTGTTAAAATTCCCACTATTACACACAAAAAGAGACAAACAGCTTATTCTGTACAATATATTTTGCATGCCAAATCTCCCTCATCCAGACAGTGAAGAAAAAAATATAGTGCATCTAAACATTCAGTCATTCTAACTTTCTCATTGCATCCTACACACACACACACAGTCCAACCATATATCAAGCCAGGATTCAAAAAGATAAAATAACTAAAAACAAGCTAAATAACATCCAAATTATCCAATAGCATCCAAGTACGACAGTGAATATTTCATGTAAGATCCAAATCCAAATGGCCCACCTAAAGTTTATGAACCTGGGAATATGTATGTTTTGTATATACTAGAGCTGTTTTTATAGTCAGTCTTCCCTTCAATCCTGCTTATAAAAAAACCCCAAAGTGGTCAAAAACTTCCCATAACTTCTGTAGCGAATTTAGCTCACAACAGGAAATATGAATAATTAACCATAACTAGTTATAATTAACTATTCATATTTTAGATCCGCTGTAGATATTTAGCTGACCACTCAGGGTCAACTGTCTTGTCAATTCTAAGAACGTTAATTTCCTGGTTAAGGGAAATAACTTTCTTACTGTACAATTCTACAAAAGCTTGTAACGTAAATCTGCATGATTAGTGACTCCGGTTATGAGCAAACAATGAACACGTCAAGCGTGATACAAGTAAAGTTTTATTAACTACATAAACACTTAAACTAGTCAAACATACTACATAAACACATTAAGCCGGTCTAACATACACATACACACACACACACACACACACACACACACACACATTGTAACACCTATAAATTACGAAAGGATGAAATAATTACACACATTCTGTGATCGCTATATTGCCAAGTACATCCTTGTTGGTCCTGGAACAACAATCCAAGCAATCCTATCAGACTTTATGGGTTAAGTTAGAAATGTATTTGCAAATATGCAATTGCAGACTTGAACACTTGGCCAAGGTATGGCCCAGTTAGACAGAGTTGTTCCAGGACCAACAAAAGGTCTAGGAACACGTCCTACCTGGCAAAACCTTTCATCCACTCATTGATAGTGCTTTTCCAATAACTCCAAGTTCCTTTGTTCGATAAAGATAGTAATTGCGCCTTAAAAATAAACAACTCTAATAAATGCTATGCATATTTATCCTCATCTGTCTAAAGCATAACTTAAGCTGAAGGTGGTCCACATGGAATTATTAAGAAAATGGTAAACTAATGTGTTTTTTTTTTATTATCGAATTTGCAATATGTGGCGAACTCTGTTGCTCTCAATGCCAAATGACTTTACCAGGTGCAACAAGTTTCCCGTTACAAATTTACCCACACTAACCAAAGAGTTTCGATTTCCATTGACTTCCATTGTATTTTTTGTCCACACAATGAAAGTTAATGGAAATCGAAACTTGGCTACCAACATTCTTCAAAATGCCTTCTTTTATGTTCTGCAAAAGAAAGAAATTCATACAGGTTTGCAATGACATGATTATGAGTAAATTATGACAGAATGTCCATTTTTAACCAGCAAGACTTGCTTGGTCAACCAGTTTCATTGGAAAGCTGATGGTGGTCCAGCTTCATGTGGCTATGTTGGTTTACCAGCTGGACTAGCACCAATAAAAAAGGGTTGGTTAGGACAAAAACTCAGATCTATATAGGAGTGGAACCTTTAAATTGCGTGTTGCTCCTGGTTAAGATATAGTCATAGTATCTGTCATAATGTTTCAACAACTAATGTCATTTTAAGGACACTACCCACTTCCTCTCCTATGTTAGTCATTCATGACCCCTGAATGCTCACTTTTCACACAGCCAAATGGCCCTTTTCAATGTTCAAACCAGTAACGTTTGCAGAAAACATAATTTATTTAGGAATATACTGTGTTCAGGCAGACTGAGCATGTGATTGACCTTGTTTATACAGACAGTAAAATCACTTCACGGAAAAGAAAGAGCAAACAACATCATTAAACCTCACAAGTAAGCTGCGCAAGTGCCTTTTAGTTCTCTGCTGGCATTGTGTTGGGTCCCTTAGTCCATTTTCTTTTATCTTCAGTTACTTTGAATAGCCGTGTCAAAGCGAAGTGGTGAAAAATCTGAAGTTCACAGGTACAATACATTTGCTTGGCTGCACAATCTTTGAAATGTCGTCAGCTTCTATGATGTTATGTCTCGCCAGATGATCAGGAAAGGGAAAATCGGAGAGGTGTTTGAACAGGAACTCTTTGATGGGTATGTTTGACATCCAGCTCCGCCTGAGATGCTGGCAAATATCCGATATCCGCTGCCGTTTATTGACGTTTGTGTCCGACGTTATCGTTTGCACGGCGGAAGTGCAACCTGAAGCTCAGGATGACATCATAGAGTCAAATCAAAAGGAGCAACAAATGACCCCGCCCATCACATACACACCTGCTGCTAACATGAATGACTCTGAATCTGAAAGAATCCAGAGCAATAGAATGATAATATCATAGTGAATCAGACTCTTACATATTTGGCCTTCCATAAGTTTCACGAGGGAAAATATACTCGTGTTCAACTTTATGAACAATCTACATTTCACCTCCGGAAAAACATTCAAAACACAGATTAGTGTGAAGCACTTAATTTGACCTTTGGCCTTTTCAGAGCACTGGTGAAAACTGACCTGTAACATCAATAAATGATGCTGGCTTTCCAACTCAAACATGTGCTAAGTGCAGGCAGGTCTTTAGTCAAATGAACTTCAACCTCCCATAGTCACTGCAGTACTTTGTCATCTGTGTAAGAACAAAAATACCACCGTACAAATCACCATTTAGCATTTTTCTTGATGTGGCCAAGTGCTGATATTTTCTCCGTAGCCTTTTTAAATGTATTTTTCATGTGTCAGTGCCTTTGTCCAGCATTCGTAACTTAGTGCTGGTGTTAAACTTAAAAAAAAAACAAAAGAACCAATGACAACAAAATGAAAAAGCAAACGAAAAGAAATATTTGAACAAAAAAGTCATGCAGTTTGTTCAAGCAGCACAAAAAACCCCCAAAACAAACAAAGCTCACCAATGCGTTTACGTGTCTTTCCAAGTGATTGTCTTTCATTTTGAGTGAAACACTTTGAACACACAAGCAGAGAAACAAAACAAAAACCTAAACGAAAGAAAACAAAATGTGTGATCAAAGAAAGTATATAAAAACAAAAATCAGCTTGCAATGACAACGTAAGCACAACAAATCCAGGGCTGATGTTTGTTGTCATTTTTTCTATAGACGTGAGTTTGATCAGGCATTGGAGAAAGTAAGCGATCCCCTGCCTTTGTTTTGTATTTTCATGTACCGATATCTTCATTCAATCAAACAAAGGAGGAGAAGCCAGCGATGGGGGCCCGGGAACCTGGGGCCAAGCTGCTCGGGGGCCGATAAAGTGTGCCTTGCTGACTGGGTGGGTTGGAGCTCTGCTGGGATGGAGTGGGAGTCCGGCTGCCCTTGGGTCTAAAAAGGCTGCCAGCCTGGGACTGGCTCTGGGGAGTAGGGGAACTGAGCTGCGGTGGGAACGGGGGTAGAGGGGGCAGAGGCGGTGGAGGAGCGCAGAGTTCGGGCTCTCCGGACTCCGACTCGGTGTAGTTGTAGGCCTGCACTCGGGAGATTCCCTTCTGCTGTCTGCGCCAGGAGTTGTAGTAGGTGGGGTCACTGATGTAGTGGTTGACGAATGAATGCGTCTTCTGGCGGTTGGGGTCCACCTCGTATTCGCTGTCACTGCCCTGGTGGTTGAGAAAGAGAGAAAGAATGAGCGATGGAGACAGAATCACTTCAACAATCTCAATTTTAAGGAAGGATGATGTGAGTAGGTTTCCGGGATCAATCCACAGAATCAGAGGCTGCACTGGAAATAATCATTATTCGTCACTTTTGACACTAAAGTTCAAAGTTTGTGGTCAGGAAAAATGCATGAAATTCATCTGCTGATGCTGTTCTTTTGAACTTTCTACTCTTGAAAAATCACAGTTTCCGCAAAAATATTAAGCAGCACAACTGTTTTCAGGATTGATGATAATATTAAAAAAATGTTAGAATGATTTCTAAAGGATCATGTGACGCTTTGCCATGAGCTTTGATTTCACAGGAATAAATTAAATTTTAAAATATATTAACATACAGTGTAGAATATTTGCAATAATTATAAATAATAATTCATAACATCTGAAGTGAGTTCTTCTTAAGAAGTAACCTGACTATCATGTGTGCGATTTGCAGTAGCAGTTTGTTTCTGAATTGACAAAACATTGGCTAAAATGAGTGTTAATAAAGATTAAAAGAACAGAAATCATGGCTGACAAGTGTGAGTTTGGTGAAAATGACTGATTTGAGTTACTTAATTCATTTGGTTCCAAAACATTTGATTTAATCCGATTATCACTGCATCTAGGTAAAACAAACTTCAAGTTACCACGTCAATGTTCAGTAAAATACTGTAACATTTTACAGTGTTTATAATCTAAAGGGACACTGACAAGCTCTCAAGACCATTAGAACTTGTTTAGCAAGAGCTCATTTAGTTTTATCAAACAACAGACATGATGGTAACCTGATTAAAAAAACAAAATCCAATTAATTATTCCATTAGATTATACTTGCAATCTCTAATTTCTTTCCACAAACCATCAAAGCTTTATTTATTGTAGGAAAGAAGTCTTGAAATGCAACAGACCACACACACCTTACTTTTGAATCTGTCATAAATGACCCAAGAAAAGAAAAGGCAAAAAAAGGGAAGAACCAAAAAAGGCTCTATCTATCATTTAAAAATAACCTCATTGCTTTATACCACTGCACCCTCGGATACCAATCACACGCTGCGTTTAGGGGGTCACATATCAATGTGGTGGGGTTTTTACCATGTATGAACCTAATGGAGAGGATAGGAATGGACAAGCACTAAGAGGCGACTTCCTGTCAGTCAATGCACAATGCATATCCTCACCCTTTGAGTTGGAAGAGTATGGAGGCCCCCAGTCTTAAAGGAGAAAACAAGCGCCTCCTAGAGGTAAACAGAGACATGGGGTTTAAAGCAGTGCAGTATGGGCCCTAAGCCATATTTCATGGGACAAACAATGGCTTCTTTTTAAAAATGGTGCATTACTGTTACAAAAAAGTACTGTAATATCAGATTTGTTTCAAATATGAATTTAATGCAATTTATTTCATAACAAACCCATATTAGCAGAATGACAATTTGAGTTAAACATTCAATGAAAAATGATATCCAGTATTAACATTCAGTGTAATGTCTTTATTTTACTTAAAGTTTAAGGCATAAAATAGAAATACATATTTATGTTTTTAATTTTTCTAATAATAATAATAAATTAATAATGATAAATTATTGGTCCCTACTGTATACCATTGGAAAGTTAGATCAGCAGGCTAGTACCATGATACTTTTTTGTAAGGGTAATGCAGGCTGAGAATACTTCTCAACTTTCTTTGACATTTTAATGCGTTTCTTGGAACAATCTTGAGAAGGTTCCTCATGGCAGCCTCCTACACTCTTTGTTGAGACAGTTCTCTGCACGAGAACAATGGACAACTGTATGAAGATCTGCTCTCCATCAATCTTTGTCTTCCACCACCACATTTATTACAACACCTTCGCTCTCCTCATTCTGACATATCTGGCTCACCCTTCTGGAGCTGGCTGATGAAGTTCACCACAGTTGAGTGCTAAAGTACCAAGCAACTGCCAATTGCCAACTGGAGAGGAAAAGGATGAAAATAAGAACCATCATAGCTCAGGCTTTTAGGGTTTGCATATCGTTTTAAGAAGACTCATCTATCCTCACCACCACTTTCTGCAATCCCCCATGAGAAATTCAATCTGGGAATTTCCAAATGCTACGTTTAGGGATTGATTCTGTTCTTTCTGAATAGCTAAACTCTTGCTCCATTATTTGACACAATCTTTGAGTCTGCTATTAAAAACAACAACAAAAAGAGCTAAAGAGCAACACTGTCATTTGAAGTCTTTCACTGTGTGACAATGTGAAATGAATGAAACCAAACAAACAGAATCTACAGAATTATCTTACACTTCTACCTCTCACTGAATTATTGCAAAACACATAGATGATAAGATCACTACATTAAATACATATTTTGGCAAAAAAGTTCAACATTTCTCTTCGCCTTTCTCTTTTATAGTGAAAAGACTAACAATGCATAGATCTCTCCAGTCCACCATTATTGTAACATACACACATATGTGACACACATGCATCTGTTCAAATTCCAGAGAGGAAAGCAGTTTCCCCCAAATCAGCCCCACATCCCCTTAAAATCAGAGCTGCAGATTTCATGCCAATGACCTGCTGAAACTCTTTCATCCTTTCTTTCTTTAAATGGCAAAAAAACCTTTGAGGAAAAAAAAAATCAGTATGATTAAATACAGTAGGGCATATTGTTTTGTATCTTTGTGCATAAGAGAAAATTCCTGAAAAATTAGATTTTTCAGGAATTCAAATGTTTTCATATATCATGTAACATAATTACAGTGTTTTCCATTTACATTGTTATCATGAAATTTTATAATGACATAACTTTAATGATAATTTATTTATAATAGAAAAAAGGGAATTTTTAATCATATTTTAATCATGCATACATTTAATCATACATACATGCATATACACAATATATTATTGAATTGATCATGGATTTTTGTAGCATCATGCCTCTATTATTGAACATGTGCTGATTTTAGCTTCTCATACGACTGCAGTGGTTTAATGAGACATTCCAGTAATACCAGCAAATTCAACAACTCAATAAGCAGCAAACAAAAGCCCTGTAATCTGTAATTCAGCTTTGAAAGCTTTCTCTGTTCAGCGTGACCTCACAGCAAAGACAAGCTCAGAAACTAAAGCTGCATGCTGACACGGTGTGTGCATGTGTGTCTGTGTGTGTGTGTGTGTACTGGTATATATGGTTTATGAGGACACAAATGTGTATAATGACATGGGTACTACAACGTAAACATGGTTTATGAGGACACTTCCTGTGTCCCCGTAAAACAAAAGGCTTAAAAAAACATACAAAACAGTGTTTTATGAAATTCAAAAATCGCCAGTAGTTTTCTGTAAGGGGTAGGTTTAGGTGTAGGGCAATAGAAAATAGAGTTTGTACAGTAAAAAAACCATTACGCCTATGGAGAGTCCCTGTAAACTGCAAATACAAGTATGTGTGTGTGTGTTTGTGAGTGTGTGTGTGTGTGTGTGTGTGTGGTCATCAAAACATGTTGGTTGAGACAGAGCGCCGTGACCTACTCCTGCCCTCCCCTGCTGACACATGCAGGACGTGACAGCTGTTCTCTCCTCCAAAAAATGTTTGTTTGCATTCATCCACTCCTCTGTTATTCTATCTCCTCCATCCAGCCATGATCCATACCAATACTATTTTCAAGCTTGTTTGACAAAAAACAACAACAATATGTCTCTAAGATAGTATAATGTGTTACATTTAACGCACAGCAGAAAACTGAAATATTACAGAAATCTATTTGATGAAAATAATCAAATCAGAGCACATCAGCCGTGATATTAGTGCCGTAAAGGGCAGCTATGCCAAACCACCTGAAGGGAGAATCCAGATGGAACTTAAAACCAATTAAGCTGCTGATTTTTACACATGTGACAGGTACACTGTAAAGAAGAGTTTTCAAAACGCTTCGTTGGTACGTTCAGTGCTGTCGTTTCACTCAAACAAACACACTAAACACTGAAGAAATCGCATACTTCATTAAATAAACGTAAAAATGTAATTTTGAACAGGGAATATTTTCATGAAAAATTCTAAAAATAAAAATAATAAAAGGTATTATAAAAAATATAAAAATGATAAAAAAATAAATTATATTTGGTGGCTGCTAGGGTGTTTGACTGCTTATCTTTCAGAACATCTTATCGTAAGTATGAACAATAGTATGTAAGCATCACAAATAAAAAATACAAAATTTACTGAAGGCCAAGGTCAGTGTGATTCATGCCTTCATGAAGTTGGACTAAAATAAGTTTCAGGCCACAAAAACTACTGTAAATGCCAAGATATTCAACAAAACACAAAATAATAATAACAGAATAAAAGCTGATGACAGATTGTGATGGGTCTGGTTAATGACTCCTCAGATGGGAGGATCTGATCTTACTGGAACTGGCTGTTTGGCACGTATGTTTTGTCTCCTGCACAGACAGAAAGTGGGGCAAGATGTTCCCTCCCGGAAAATCCTGGTTTGAGTATAAGCCCTGCCCAACAGAAATCCCATTAAAATGTATGAAACTTCACTTTCTCTGTGGAACTACATTTAAATAGAGACACTGCGCCTGACCTTGTTATAGAAATACATGGAGTCTAAATATGTTTTACACAAGATTATGGGCTGTTTTCTTTCTGCAACAGATGACGGTGCTGGTGCATCACTAAAGAGGCATTACATGTGTTATATTTCTGTCTAATCTGCTCAAAAAAGCCTCAAAAATTTAACACAGGCCATTAGATTTAGGTTTGAAGGCCATTGTGACTGCCAAAACAAACCCACCCCCACTCATATCTCTACAGAGACGGATGGAGAACAGGAAAAGAAGAAATCCTATTGCAGCACAGATATGGATTAAATGAAGGAGAGGAGCGTGTAAGTGTGTAAGTGTCCCATTCCACCGATCCATTAGAATTGTAAGCACAGCAGGCATTTGGACAGACAAAGACGCAAATTATATCATTATATCTTTCAAAATTTTGTAAGAAGAAGTACTTTTATTAGGCAACGGTGCATTGATCAAAACTGAAAGTCATTCATAATGTTACAAAATATTTCTATTTCAAATAAATGTTGTTCTTTTGAACTTTCTATTCATCACGGAATCTAAAAAATATTTGTATTCAACATTAATAATCTTAAGAAATGTTTCTTGAGCAGCATATCAGCATATTAGAATGGTTTCTGAAAGATCATGTGACACTGAAAACTTGAGTAACGATGCTGAAAATTCATTTTTGTCATTACAGGTATAAATTACATTTTAAAGTATATTAAAATAGAAAACAGTTATTTTACATTTTAACAATATGATCGTTTTTGCTGTATTTTATCAAATAAATGCAGCCTCAGTGAACTTCTTTCAAAAACATTACAAGTCGTATCAACCCTAATCTTTTAAACAGTTGTTTTTTTATTTATATAAACTTAACATTCTCAGTATTTATGTATTTGCTCTGAAATTACTTCAAAGGGTGATCTTTTTCCCCAATCAGAGCGATCATTTCCAAACTGCATATGTAACACCAAGAAGTTTCAAAACGTTTAACTGCAAGAAATAAAGTACAGTAAAAATCTACGGTAACACTTTACTTGAAGGGGTGTGCATAAGACTGACATGACACCTTCATAATCATGACATGACACCTTCATAATCATGACATGACACATGTCATGAATATGAAGGAGGTTTTATGCATGTTTATGACAACTGTCATTAAGTGTCATTCGCTCAGTTATGTCATTTTTAATGCAAATATGACATTATTTGACCTAATCCTACCCCTACCCTTACCCCTAACCATAGCCCATAACAAAGACATCTCAAACAATGTCATCTTTGCATTAAAAATTACATAACTGAGCGAATGACACTTAATGACAGTTGTCATAAACATGCATAAAAACCTTCATATTCATGATATGTGTCATGTCATAATTATGTAGGTGTCATGTCATGATTATGAAGGTGTCATGTCAGTCTTATGCACACCCCTTCAAGAAAAGTGTAACCAAATCTACTTAAAAACAAACAAATTTTACAAATCTTAGATTAAGGATATCTAATCATATATTACAAATTATTTTTACCTATGAAAAAAAAAACCTACCTCCCAAATTCCAAACTTACTTTCGCTTAGTTCATATTTTTAGGTTTACATTGTGCAAAATAAAGAAGATAAAAAAGTTAGACCAAATAATAAGCATATTAAAATAAAAGTATCTTAATTTTAGATCACCAGCAAAATCAGCACAAATGTACAGTTTTATTAATACTTGATATACGGTCCAACCCAAGTGTTACGCCATCAAATATTGTCAAAATGCACACTTTTCTCCAAATTAAATCAAAATTTTCACTATGACATAAGAGTAACTGATGAGAAGCAAAAATGTTCCATGAGCTGGGAAGAATCTCACAGAGTTGATGCTGGGATGATCATCAGAGAGCCAATTAAAACAAAGATGCTTTGACATGGAAAGCTGCCCTAACAATCCCTGCTGTTAGCGCCAGCGTTTCCAAAAAAACAAACAAAAGCAGCTCAAAATCAAATTTAAAATAACTTTGTGTCCAACACACTCAAATGACTAGACAGAATTACACCTGTCCAAATTCTCATTCATCTCCCATGTGTTAATTTAAAGGCAGAGCTGGCTTTAAATTGGCCTTGCCAAATGAATCTGAGCCGTCTTTAAGAGTTCCTGAACAATGACAGTATTATACATCTCTGTGGCGGCTCTGTCTCTTTTGAGACAGCTCAATGGATCTGCAATAGCCTGGAGTTATCCGCTCAATAAAACTTCAAAGAGAGATTCCATCCTCTCTCCTCACTCTGCCTGATGGTGATGATACCAGACTTTAACAGGAGCAGAAGGAGAACAGGAGATGCTCTGTTTCCAACCAAGAAGGTGGTGGCAGGAGGAGTTAGTGAAGGGCGAGGAGGAGATTAAAAATGTAGAGCTTTTGTTTGACATGATGTGCATTTTGGGAGTTCTGACATGTTGATGGTGACAGCGCACACATTTTAAATAAAATGAAATGCTTGAAATCCTTTGGGAAATAAACCATTTCCCACTATTAAATATTTTATTTTAGTATTTGTTAGTAAGAATAACAGGAAAGAAATATAGAAAAAAATGCTGCTATAAAATATATTTCTGGCTCAAAAATGGGATTGCATTAACTACATTTAAAGCTGAAATATATATGCGCACATACACATACACTGAATCAATTAAAATTAACTAACGACAACTATATATAATGTGAAGAAAACAGCATGATGTGTGCGTGTTTCTTGCTCTCTTTGCCAGTTTTCAAGTTTGATTTAGTAAATGCCAATGCTAGACTTTCACACACAACTCAAACTGAATAGCTTTTTCTCATCATGCCAGCTAAATGGTCAATTGAGAGACGTGGAGAGAGTCCAACCAAAGCCTTCCAGTTCTCACACTTTAATCCTTATGCATTTATGTGAGTATTTTGTTTGATTACAGTTCCTGTGTGCTGCACACTGTGTTTTCTTCTCAAGTCTACCACAGATTTTCCAACCCGGGCCTCAGGACACAAAGACTGGAGAGAATGAACTAGGATGCAGCAGAATGTTCTGGACATGATAAAAAAAACTAACCACCCACAGGACCTAACCTGGACTGAAGCCATGCACAAGTAAGACAGACCTTTCCTGCAGGGCTATATCCTACTTTTGAGAAAGTTCCAGCACAGCGAGTCCTAGTCCTAATAAAAGTGTGTGATAAGGGAATTTCAACAGGTCCTATTCTAAATGAATGTGACTAGATTTAGCATTAGAAATCCTGATTGGAGGTTAAAGGGACAGTTTATCCCAAAATGAAGATTTTGTCATTATTTAATCACCCTCATGTTGTTTTCAGAACTTCCGAGGAACACAAAAACTGAAGCTTTCATGGTTCAGAAATGAGGCAAAAGCACCATAATCAGAAAAGTACAATAAAAGTTGTCCATAAGTCTATATGCACAATGCTTTTACATCCTTTTTAAATCTTTAAAGCCTCTTGAAATGAAATGAGGGTGAGTCATTGAGGACAGAATTATTGGGTGAACTGTCCCTCTAATATATATTACGCACAAAGAGACTGATAACATCTCATGACAGAATGCTTGTTACCTGTGAATCTGAGATCTCTGATGGCTTCTCCGTGAGACTGCTGCTCTCTGCTGTGATCAGGTCATTGTATTTGGCGCTGACATCCTCATCTGAGTAGTGCAGACTGCCTGGACTGGGTCGAGGAGGTGACCTGAGCAAAAGACGTGGCACAACACCAGTTTTATAAGCACAGGATGAATACTGTCTAAATGTCTTTCTTACTTTTAATATATTACTTACTTTATACACACACACACACACACACACATATGAAAAAAGCAATCTCTGAGTGAAGTATGAAGCATCTTTAGAAAAGGTTTGGCAGTAGTTCCAACTGCAGACACTTGTCTCTTTGTTAGGTGAATGAAGTACAGTGTGTGTGTTTGTATTGAGAGGCGATTCTTTATGAGTATCATGGGAGCACTGTAAGATGCCAGCTCCAAGGGGTTTCTGCATAATTAAGTCTCTGTGATGCAGCAGTGAAGAGCAGCTAAGAAAAAAAAAACGTGTGAATTCTGGATTATGCATCAGCTTTTAAAAATATAAAAACCTCTTTTACTGACTGAGGTTTTCAGCCTGAAACCCTGAAATATTTCTGTTACTCTCTAAGAAACCTTTAAAAATAATTTTACTCTAAGTGTTTTGTACAAGTTTCACTATGCTTTTAAGGATACTTTATACACAACAACGATTGATATTGATCACATTTGTTTTTGTTTTTCCCAAAACTATGTTTTGCCCGATGTTTGCAGTCTATTTGTGTACAAGTTGTTTGCACTTTTCTTTCATTAATACTGTTGATTTCAAACCTGCATTCACGATTCCAAGGGAACACCTACCTAGTTGCTGAATTCATAAATATAAAGTAAGTATGCAGCTACAGCAAACAGAATCATAAAACTCTTCCAACACATCATCAGCAATATGTGATCTAACTTTTTAGGATTATTTATTTAAAAAAGATTAATTGGAAAATGCATTAAATTCTTATTTCTTAGGAAAAAGAAATATTTCTTATTCTTAATTCTTAGGAAAAAAATAAAAAAAGATACAAGTGTGCTGGTGTGCTTGTGACTGCTGAAACACTGCAGATTGTGCTGACTGATATGTGTGTGTGTGTGTGTGTGTGTGTGTGTGTGTGTGTGTGCGTGTGTGTGCGCGTGATGTAAACAGGCCTCTCTACAGTCCAGAACAGAAAAGTCTTGAACACAGAGTTAAAGCACACCATATACCGTCCCTGCCTTTAAAAACAACACTCTCCATATATAAGACTGTGGCCCCTCATAAACTACCGCTGTAAGACCTGCCACCTACTTTCTTTATGTTTAACATTTCTATTAATGTTTCTATTTCAATTATGTATTGTCATTTACATTAACACACACATACACAAAATATTTTGAATGTCCTTGCTTCTCTTTCCATAAAGACAAAAAGCACTAAAAAAGTAACACAAAATATCTTATTTTGTGATCTACAGTATAGAAAGTCATTGCCTGGAACGAAATAAGGGCATGGAAATGATGATAAAATGTCAATGGGAAACAAATTCTGTACACTGTACTCAAACTTTTGCTCTGATTGTGTTTGAGAAACCGCAGACATGCCATGACAGACAGTCAGAAGAATTTTAAAAGAAAGGCTCGCTTTTAGATCTTAAATCACAGACCTCCTTCTCAGCAGGCAGTCTTTGAATCCTGCCAGTATCTTGAGAAGAGAAGCTATCTGTATTATATTACTTGAGCTATGCAATATCATAACTATTGAGGTTATAACAGCAAGACAGCACGCTTGAACGAGCTCTCTGCAGTGGGCAGACATCAACGGTCTTTGATTCTTTCCACCTTGATGCTCCTGTCACTTCTCTAAGATTTTCCTGAGGTTCTTCATTCACTTTCCTGATCCTCTCAGTCGGTGAGCCCACAATCTAATTCAGGCTCTGTAGACCCTCCACTCGGGAGAGAACAAAGCCTGTGGAACTTCATCTGCACATTCCTCCCACACCTCTCCCTTAATCTGTGGCCAGAGGAAAGAGCCTGGCATCCCCTCAAAGACCAGAGGACCTTTGACCCTCCTCAAGGTGACCCAGGATGAAGGAGAGCAGAGGCTGAGAACTAAGGAGTGATAATAGGGCAGATTTCTCAAATGGGAATGGATCTACACACCTGGCACACCTGGATATATTACTACAGGTGTGAGCACCTATTCATGACATTGCTTGACTATTCTTAAAATATAACACATTGCAATATTTTAAATTATATGTGCAACTTAAATATAATAACTACTAATTTATCAAATAAAATTAAAATTCTTAGTTTCAAATGCAGTACCTACGCCACCCAATCCATATTTTCATTAAGCATAGTTTTAGTTGTAGTAATAGATGTTTTGTGCATATATTTTAAAACAGTCCCATTTTAGAAAGAACGGCGGCAGTATAGGTGAGGTCATGAACCAGAATCTGTTATTGCTCTTAGCCTGTGACTTGTCAGAAAGAAATGCTCTCATTAGTGGAAACATAAACTTTTTATATTGAGTTTTATGATGGAAAGCAGGATCTTATGAAGGTAGAGCCATTTGGTAATCCCATCAGTCTTTCCATGATGAATGAGAAACTCCTATATTTTGGGCTATTTTTGCCACATTATTGCCAAGTGGTTGAAGCTTTATGGGAGTTTAATAGTTATATATTTGCAAAATAATACAAAATAAGCACATGATAATTGATTTACTACTTCATATAACATTACCCAACCTACTAGATGAAGTGACAGGTGAACATTAGCGTATTAAACTGCAGCTACTGCTGCACTTAGACAGAGTAATATTTGTTATGACCATGAGTTTTGTAATACTTCATATTTCAGCTCGAAAACCTGCATGCTCATATTTAAAAAAAAAACTAAAAACTTGCAGTCAAAGAGAGACACTTTCACTGAGAGGAACTTCCACTGACCTGGTGTAGACGCCATTTTTGCGGCAGAAGGAATTTTTGACGGACAGTCGTCGATTGTTCAGTTCCAAGGCAGGGAAACGGCTCTCGTCCAGGCTGACCATCTCTCCATGTGTCAATGCATTGCAGTTGGAATTGCTGCCTGTATGGATGAGATATGGAGATATTAAGAGATCATTAAGACTTAAAAAGTTTGAACCAAAACTGAGATGTTACAAATTTTGATCTGATGACGGTGATGCTTTAAGTCTTACTAAATTAATTGAAACAGAAATTAATTTTGTTATGGGGTCGATCATAATAACAGGATACAATGCCACCAAAACCAAAAGGTCATTTAATCTCTACATTTTGGAGCTCAACACCCTCATTAAGATAAAACGGTTCTGGGCTGGCAGGTGGTGTTGTGTGAATAGTGCATACGTGTGTGTGTGTGTGTGTGTGTTGGACATTTGTGTGATGTAGTGTGTTTTTGTGTGGAAGCAAAAACTGGGCCTCACATGCTCCCTCAGTGTGTTTAGCATGTTTAGTGACCCACATGACTGTCCCACCCCTCAGTACTGTTGTGGTCTGCCTGCTCTTACTACAGAAATGCTGACCACACACTTACACACACATTCCACACTGATGATGTCACAGAAACAACAATGCTGTTTCATTCAACACACACACACAAACATACAAACAGACAGACATAAAGAACAATAGACAAATAGAATGATAGAAAAAAATGACAGACAGACTGAACAATAAATGGATGGATGGACACAAACAGACATAACTACATATAGACAGAACAATAGACAGACAGAAGAAACGATATATATATATATATATATATATAGATAGATAGATAGATAGATAGATAGATAGATAGATAGACAGACAGACAGACAGACAGACAGGCACATACTTGAGTCAGATTTCTTAGCATATTTCTTGCTCTGGCCTCTGATGATGAGGATGAAAACTAGAAGCAGGATGAAAATGAGGCCGACCAGAGCAACCACCACCAGAAACCACCATTCCTCATAGAACGGAGCCACTTTTTGTGCTGGAATTAAAAACAAATGTATATACTATTAGAAGAATTGACTTTGGTATGATTTTCAGATTGATTTTCACTTTGAAGGTTTGAACTAACCTGATATGGATGGTGACGGTTGGCTTGGAGATCCGTACCCATAATCATTCACCCCGATGACCCGGAAGTCATAGCTGACTCCCTGTTTTAAGATATCCATGTTGAAGGTATACGAAGTCACTTCCTTGGGAATGTCCTTGATTAAGATGTCCCACAAGCCTTCATCTGGAATTTTTTTTTTTAAAGATAGAAAAATGGCTAGTCATTCATTGCAGCATAGTTTATATAAGTCATAAGTTCTACGAGTCTGATCACCTTAGAGAAACAGCACACACAAATATAAAAACCATGTCATTATTTACTTACCTTCATGTCATTCTAAATCCGTATACAAGTTTGAAACAACATGGGTGTGAAAAATGTTAATAATTACCACATTTTTGTTTTGGGATATACAATGCCTTTAAGAATGCACTGTTTTTGTGTGTGTGTTTAACACTGCCGCAGCTGTCAGAGCTAATAATTCAGAGGTGAGACCTCATCAAATATAATTTCATCACAATATAGATCACATGTCATTTCAGCTATGTCTAATGTGTTTAATGTGCTACCGAGAACCCCAAGTGCCTTCAGGAGCAGTGAAGAGAGAGAGAAAGCAGTGCTGGTGTCATGTGCCAGGCCTGGTAGAAAAATGACAGGATTAGATCTTCAGGGCAGAGTGTGAAAATAATATTCCACCTCTACGGCACATGAATGGCATGCAAAGATGGCCTGGCACACATCACGCTAATGTATGGGTCTTTAAATCAATCCCATCTGCTTCTCCCCCAGAACTCACTCTTTTCTCATTCGAGCACAGCTTCTCCTCAGTCACTGAGGGAATCTGATCTGCTTTGTCTCAATTGGACCGCTCACATCAATATACAGTATCTCCTTCATCGGACACAAGCTGCCGTCAGCATCTTTTTTCCAGACTGAGGCATATGGAATCACTCTTCATTGTTTGGAAGAATTTGTATCTAGGAATTTGGTTGATGAATGTGCTGCCAAACGGACCTCGTGCTAAGCATGGGCCTTAAAGTCAGAGAGAATGAATATTTGATTTGGGTTTACTCATTTCCTTGAATACAAGTCTTGAGTTGGGTCTTCTAAATCAGACAATATTGAGTTATTTTTCACTTTAAACTAAAATGTACTGAATTCAGTTTAGCCTATTTCAGTTCAATATCTATTTGGGTTTTATTTTTGTCACTGTTCAAGTGGAGCAGCATTCACTGTGAACTGAGCTGCTCTGAGACATCGAAAATACTGGATCATGAGCTGCTCGTGTGTAAATGAACACAGTGGAAAACTTTACTCTGGAAAACTTTAGGTTGCACAGAACATGTGACTATTTCTATTCTATTTTTGTCATTTTGACACTTCTTAGACACACATTAAAGAAATGACAGGAAATTTGAAGACAATAGGAAAGTAATTAGTGCACACACAATTTGCAAAGTGCAAATTGGTATCTTAAATAACCTCACCTGACGGCCTGGCCTCTATAACATAGCGGGTAATAGGTGCCCGCCCGGGATCCCCATTGGTCCAGTGGATGGTGAGGGCGGAGCCATATCGGGAGATGAAGGGCTCACCGGGAGGGCCCGGGGCTCCTGATCACAAAGAAGCAATGGGGTTACATTAACTTACTGAAATTGCTTAGCTGAAATTGTACGGAGGGACAGAGAAAGCATGCAGACAGACCTTCTCCAGGTCCTGTGGTGATGTTGGCCTCCACCTCTGGACCATAGGTGAAGGTTTTGGCGCGAATGCGGAAGTTGTATGTGACGCCATCCGCCAGGTCTTTGATTTTCAGCCACAGAGGGGCGTTCCCCTTCACGTCCACCGTCACGATCTTACTGACGCCTGGGGGGGAGGGGGAGTGAAGACAGTCGACACAGGCCACTGAGGACTCTAGACAAACACACTACTTTTAGTTCAGGCAACAGGAGCTCAACACACACTCATACGTGGGTGTAGATCTCATCTCAACAATTTTGCTGGCCCCTGAATAATGATTGCAAGGTCCAAAATGAACACTCATCAAGCTAAATGCATGCAAAATGGCTTTGGCCAGTTAACAATTTGGCTGGTAATGTTGTTAGGCTTTTTAATTTTTATAATTTTATAATTTAGGTAATTTTAGAATTTTTGTAGCGTTTAAGTTGACTTGAAATAATGATAATTTGATGCACATTATACATTTTTAAAGACTCCTAAAGTTTTCTCCAGAAATATGTAGAGACCAAGCCACTAAAGAAACCAAAATGAGTTGTGACAGGTGCTGTTTCAACAGAGAATAGTTTATCTTTGTTTATGTTAACTAAAACTATTAAATCATTTTTTTAAATCGAAATAAAGCTAATATAATATATAAATATTAGATGAAAAAGTTCAACTTAAAAATAAAATAATTAACTAAATTAACTTTATTAAACAAAAACTGTGTTAAAAAAATAAACAAAAACTAATAAAAATGACAAAAGCACATAACAAAATTACTCAAATATAAAAATATAAATATGAAAAATAAAATAATTTAAAAACAATATAAAAAAGATAAAAAATATCAAAATATTATTGAATACTATAATAGTATATACATATTAAAATAATACTGTTTGTGAGTTATACCAAAATTACATGTGCTGTTTTTCAGAAATAAGCAAAGAAAAATACCTAAATAATTTTATTTTTTATTATTTTAGAATAAAAATAATGCTAAATATGGTTTCATGGGCAGTTAAAATATTTATGGATAGTATCTTTTCAATTAGCCCACCATTGGTAAGTGTGGAAAATGTTAATTGTGGACCCTGATTGATTATAATATTCACAATTTGATGTTCGCACAATTCTGGAAGGAAAGTTTCTTCCCGGGTCCAACACCCCTGCACACAAACAGATACACACACACACACACACACACACATACACACAGACACACACACAGACACACACACACACACACACACTCTCTCTCTCTCTATTCTGTGACTACTCACTGACTATATCAATTAAACTCATGATTATCTAATAATGGTAGTAAGGTTTTAGAAAAAGGAATTTTGAAGCTAAAGGTGTTGTTATGCATTAAATCTGAAATCTATACATGAAAAAAGAAAGACACTGACCATCAACAGGCATGCAGGGCTCGTAGATAAGTCTGTAACCCTCAAGGATGCCGTTAGGGAAGACAGGCTCGCCCCACGACACGTTAACAGAGGTGGTGGTAAGCTCACTGAAATGGATGAAACTGGGAGCACTGGGAGCTGAAAGAGAAAACATCTGCTAGTCAGGAGAGACCACGACCGACAGTCTCAATGACTTAAATGTGTCTGCCTCTCTCCCTTTCCTGGAATTAAGACTTTAAACCCTTTTTGGAACAAAAAATGGCTACAACAAAATTACCTGTCATTCTGTGCCTGTTTCTATCTCTGGGGGAAAAAGAAAGAGAGCAGACATGATATACATGATATAGAGACAAATCTTTTTAGACAAAGGAGAGGAAGATAGACACAGTTTGTGAGAAGATTGTCAGACTCTTGTGGATTTATTGTGCTGCCTTCGTATGTATTTCAGCTCCACAGCTTGAGACAAAACCGTTTAATGTCAGTCAAAGTGTTTTCTGGAAGAGCAATTTAAGATATCGACAAAAAACTGTCAAGCTGTTATATGCAGTTGAAACCACAAGCAAAAACAATACTCTTTAGTATGTCAACAGTACTTCAACCACACATAATAAGTGGTCTTAAAGGGTTGGTTCACCCAAAAATGAAAATTAGCCCATGAAAATTACTCACCCTCAAGTCACCCTAGGTGTATATGACTTTCTTCTTTCAGACGAATCCAGTCGGAGTTATATTAAAAATTGTCTTTGATCTTTCAAGCTGTTTAATGCCACTCAGCGGGTTATGCACACAAACAAATGCAGATAGCAGATTTACTGATTAGAAGCAAAGGATAACTTGAGTTTTTTATATTTTTTGGCCTGTTGTCAGCAGCGGTTCACATTCCAGAAGTTCTTGGACTCATAAATAATTAAATCATTTGAAATAGTTTCCATCATTACAAACTTCTGATTGACTCCCCGTGTGTTTACAGTAAAATAAGCTACAGTCTTATGCCTGCGTTAATTTAGATAGCTATTAAAAGTAAAATGACTGCATTCAGCTTTAAAATCTGAAAAAAATCTATCTAGTGCAGTTAGAGTGGTCTTCCAATACTTAGCACATCATATGCTTAGCAAATGACCTGGAACAAGCGTTTTTGTTAACTATTGTGATATGCATGAAGGTCCTGGACAAGACAGGTAAGGACAGAACTAACTGTAAAGTTTCCTCACCAGCTTGCTGGGTTCTTCCTCTGGTCGGTAGGCTGCGTGGCCCATCGCCGGCTGCATTAAAAGCAGCAACACTGATCATGTAGGTGGTGTAGCCCGTTAGATTCTTGAGCTTCACCCCTCCCTCTGGCAGGAAGAGAGTCCTCAGTTTCTCAGTCTCGTTTTTCCGCTGATATTCCCAAAAGAAAATCTGCAAGAATAAAACAAAAGGTCACACTCATATTATTGTTTTGCATGTCTGTTTTAGGCGTTTCTTTAGCTTCATGCACTTTTATGTCCCAGGGGTTGATTTAAAAAAAAAAAAAAAAAAACTTTTTCCTTTCTTATTTAAAAGGTCACATTATAAAGGTCTTGGAAACATGTTCCAAGCCTCATCATGCATTTTTGCAACTTTTTAAAAATGACCTTCACATATAGATTTTATCAAGTTACAAAGCAAATTACTGATACTGATGGTTACACTTTACTTGAAGGGGTGTGCATAAGACTGACATGACACCTTCATAATCATGACATGACACCTACATAATCATGACATGACACATGTCATGAATATGAAGGAGGTTTTATGCATGTTTATGACAACTGTCATTAAGTGTCATTCGCTCAGTTATGTCATTTTTTATGCAAAGATGACATTGTTTGAGATGTCTTTGTTATGGGCTATGGCTAGGGGTAAGGGTAGGGGTAGGGTTAGGTTAGCGTTAGGTCAAATAATGTCATATTTGCATTAAAAATTACATAACTGAGCGAATGACACTTAATGACAGTTGTCATAAACATGCATAAAACCTCCTTCATATTCATGACATGTGTCATGTCATGATTATGAAGGTGCCATGTCAGTCTTTTGCACACCCCTTCAAGTAAAGTGTTACCACACTGATTTCTCCACATAAATTGCACAATAATTTAGTTTGAATGAGTCATGGAAGGTCAACATATAACCATCATACAGAAAATGTAGATGGGAGTCACACTAAAAACATTTTCCACATAGTCAGTAGAGTCTGACCTTATAACCCTGAATATCTCCATTCTGAGTCTCCAACGGAGGCGGGTCCCATGTCACATCAAATTGTGTGGCAGTAGCTGATTGGATGACCATATTTTGAGGCGGGGCAGTGGGAACTGTGAGGGAACATCGATGTGAGGTGAAGTTTTGCTCCTTTTTGTTTGTAAGCTAAGAAAAACTTCATAAAGGTAATAAAGGTTTTACCTGCTTCGCCAACAAAGACTTCCTGTGGTGAGCTAGTTGGTCCCTCACCAACAGCATTATAGACACTCATTCTGATTTCATAGCGCTTGTGTTTCATAAGATCTACAGAAGAGCAAAAATGGCATTTTTTTCTTTCATCCATGGTTGGCACTTTACAACAAGTTTTATCTACTTCAAAAAAAAAAACTAAAAAAAACTAAACTAAAACAATTTCTCAACCATCTTTGTTTCATTAACTTTGACTCAGACTTTCCCTGGAAACTGTGTCAGCTCCCATCCTGAAAGATGAGTCAGTCTGCTTATCTAAACTCAGTTTACACACTGCTCTTTCAGCAGAGATCAACGGCAGAGAGAAACCAGATGCAGCTCTTTAATGCATTAGCACTCTAGACGTGAGGTGAGAATAGCAGCTAGCCCAAACATCTAGACTGCCTATTCTCAACTCTTAAGTAAGGCTTGACATGTACTGGATTAGACACAATCATATATAAACTTTATGGACTGGGAAAGACAAAAAGGAAAAAATAGCCAGAAGAAACAGGAAGTGACTTACTGTCCAGCTCATACTGAGTGAGGGAGGGATCGCTGAGGTTCTGTATGCTGTATGGAGCTGCAGAAGAGGAAGTGCAGGACGAGGAGAACATAAATAAAGAAGATATGACCATAAAAATAATGACAGTGAGAAACCAGCTTAAATATTTTAAAATAGTTAAAGGGGTCATATGATGCTTTTGTAAAGATCAAATATTTTGTGTATTTGGTGTAACAGAATATGTTGACGCTTTAATGTTCAAAAAACACATTCTTTTTCAAATACTGTACATTATTGTAGGTCCTCTATGCCCCGCCTCTCTCAAACGCATCGTTTTCTACAAAGTCCCTCCTTCCGACGAGCGCAGTCAGCTCTGATTGGCCAGCTGACCCAGTGCACTGTGATTGGCCGAACACCACAAGCACTCATCAGAAATGTAACGCCCCTTACCATAATCACGAGCTTCCTCTTTCAAAATAAATGTAAAGACAGAGCCCGAAAGGGGAACAGAGTTGCATGACAGACACAATGATGAAGCTGGTCTCTCTCGCTCTCTCTCTCACGCGTGTACGCACGCACGCATGCACACACACACACAGGATGCACAAAACTCCGCATTTGAACAGTCAATAGCAAATACTTAAACTAATAACAAAACAGTAGCTGACTCAAAAGCGCCTGATTGTCCTAGCAAAGTCAGAATTACCTCCTCTCCTAGGTTCACGAAATGGTCGTCCATAAAATGCATTGCTGTTCTGTTGTAAGTAATCTTAAAGATTCCTAAATGCATCTAGAAACACACAGCGTCTCCCTGACATGGCTTCTTCAACACTAACTGCGGTTACTGAAACCACGCCTTCTTTCTTTGCGTGCACATTTGGGCGGCATTATGCTAATATTTCCTCATAGTGAGGTAGATATGTGGGGGCGTGTTAGAACGAGCCGTTTTAGGGGGGCGTGGCAGAGTCTTAACTTTGATAAAGAATATCTCTTTGGTTTTGAGACTTTAGTCTTTGCATCTTCAGGGATCTTATCTATGCACAATCAGCTTGTAACACTCCAAAGAGAAAGGACAACTTGAAATCGCATCATATGACCACTTTAATACTGAATGTAAAATTATGCTTGGTTTAATAAAATGATACTTTTGAACAAACAGGCCATTAATGAAGATATTTCATTTTTGTATGGACATTTCATTCTTAATTTTGATTAATATCAATATTAATTAAAACAATTATTTTATTTTCCTTACTTTGTAATTCATTTTTCAAATATATTTATTGTTTTGGGCTGTGAATAAATTTAAATATTAGTTAATATAAAAAGAATGAGTTATAAATTAGCTTAAATATTTTAAAATAGTTCATACTGAGTATAAAATGAAGCTTGATTTAATAAAATGAAGGCCATTAATGAAGATTTCTATTTTTGTATGAACATTTTATTCTTAAATTTGATTATTATTATTAACATTAATCTATATATTAATAGTTCATTACATTTTTTTAAACATATGTATGATTTGGGCTATGAATCAATTAAAACATTAGTTATTATGAAAGACAAATAATAATGAACATTAAAGAGAAATGACTCTGCAAATAAATAAAACAAAGAGATGTGCCGTATTGGCCAAATATGTATACTTTATTTTTGGGTCATGTCTCGCTTAGGGCACACATCGAGAGACATGTCACTAGTGATACTGAATGTCTTATGCTTACATGTGAGTTCTGCCCAGCTGGTTGAAGGGCTGCTGATAGCATGAGTGCTGAAACTTCGGAGCCGATCGTAAAGTAACTCCCGATATCGGATTTGGAAGCCCAGTAGGATCCCATTAATCTTCTCCTCAGGAGGGGGCTAAGGACGACAGGACATGCTGAGCGAATGTCACCACACATAATCAACAGTGCCATTAAAGGTGAAGTGCGGAATATCTGAGCCACTTCTGCTCCTTCTGCTACTGGTCAGAAAAAAGACAGTCCCGCCCCTTTTAAGCTTTTGCCATTTGATTTGTGTCTAGCATTGAGTCATGTTGAGTACGTGCAATTGGAGGTTGTGTAAACATGTACGTTGCTAATAGCCAGAGGGAAGACATCTTTATACTCTGGATAAATGCAAGGATAAACCAAGCTTTTGCTAATTCTAAACTCAAGTTTAATAAGCAAATCAGGAAAATCCCCACAGTAAAGCGTGAATTAACTGGTTCTGGGGGAGGAACCAGTTCACTCACCTTTTTTTCCACCTGAATGGATAAAGACATGAACTAGAGGCCTGCGGCTTTTACATCCTGCCCTCTTTGAAAGGGTAATTCAGGAGTGACTTTGAGAATATGTGTTTTAGATACATACTGTGCCCTCCTGCTCTGTTATTGCAAACCGCTGATGGAAAAGCATGTAAGTGCTATAAGTGAAAAGCCCTGCCCACTTACCTGCCAGCATATCAGCACAGAGGTTGTGGTGTGTGGCGTGACAGTTAGGATTGTGGGAGATTCGTCAGGAGCTGGAGAAAGCAAGAGATACAATTAAATGGAGAGGGAGGGACAGAAAGATAATTGTGTACCTGGCATCTCTTTTAATGTTTTGCTGCATCAGCTACAATGTCTTACACTACATAAACACTGCATTGCTAAACATGCCAAGCCTGTCTTACAGCCTGATTTGTTGTGTTGGGTTTTAAACAGGCATTATGCATGGCCTGTCTCGCTTCACTAAAGTTACTTCACAACAACCAGAGATACTGTATTACCTCACTTGTTCTACTGCCTCCAGCAATGACATCATCGCTGGAACACAATAGCATCACCTTGGTTTACAATAAGAGCTTGGCTGCTATCATGACAGTGAAGTCAAGCTCTCGTAATACAGCCCGAATAGCATCTGTGTGCTATAAAATGGTCAATTCATGAAACACACATCACATACAGAATGATTTGGCTGTATATATTCAGAGAAAAGAAGGCGGCGGGACCATGTAGAGAAGGATATGGCTCTGCTCCAAAACCTAGTGAGCTGCAACACTGTCTATATATGACTAGGAATTTTTGAAAGAAGTCTCTTATGCTCATCAAGGCTGCATTAATTTGATAAAAAAAAGAAAATACAGTGAAAACAGTAATATTGTCAAAATTTGTTTTCATATATTTTAAAATGTAATTCAAACTCAAAAATCATTTTAATATGTTGACGGTGCTAAAAATATTTTTTTATTATAATTGTTAAAAGTTGTCTATGTTGCTTACATTTTTTGTGGTACTGATACTTTTTTTTAGGTTTCTTTTAATGCACACCAAATAAAAGTGAATTCCTGTCAAAAAAAAAAAAAAACCTTACTGATACATAGCACACACAAATATTGGGTGAAATAGTCCACTGAAATTATATTGAACTATTATATCTATCTTTTGGAAATGGTTTTTTTTTACCCCACAAACAAGACTTTTTAGCCTCAAATCGAATAAATCACTAATTTATTACAGCTCTTTTCCAGTGTGCCAGAAGAACCAAATGATGCTGCTAAGCGTTTGTTTGTAAGCAGTAATTCATCTGTTCATTTTTAAAATAATTTAATTGAGCGTCTCCCAAAAATCTTGTTTGCCACACTGTTTATAGAACATATGAGTTGTTGACTTCAATCTTGGCCATAACAACACTGCTGAAAAAGGCAGTTTAAAGCAGCCTACTGTAAGCTGGTTCTCCCAACCTGCACGGGTTTGTCTGGTTTGCAGATTTTAGAGGGGTTTGCGGCACTTGTCAGCTGATTAGGCTGGAAGACCATTTGCCTGACCTACTAAAGACTAGTTTGGGCAGTCTTGGACACAAGGTAAGAACATTTGAAATGCTGGATGTACAGTCCACAATAAAACACTGATAAAGAGTACAATAGAAGTGGAAAGAAGAGGAAAGGGTTAAATGTTCTGAAGGCGGCGAGACCATGTAGAGAAGGATATGGCTCTGCTCCAAAACCTAGTGAGCTGCAACACTGTCTATATATGACTAGGAATTTTTGAAAGAAGTCTCTTATGCTCATCAAGGCTGCATTAATTTGATAAAAAAAGAAAATACAGTGAAAACAGTAATATTGTCAAAATTTGTTTTCATATATTTTAAAATGTAATTCAAACTCAAAAATCATTTTAATACGTTGACGGTGCTAAAAATATTTTTTTATTATAATTGTTAAAAGTTGTCTATGTTGCTTACATTTTTTGTGGTACTGATACTTTTTTTTAGGTTTCTTTTAATGCACACCAAATAAAAGTGAATTCCTGTCAAAAAAAAAAAAAAACCTTACTGATACATAGCACACACAAATATTGGGTGAAATAGTCCACTGAAATTATATTGAACTATTATATCTATCTTTTGGAAATGGTTTTTTTTTACCCCACAAACAAGACTTTTTAGCCTCAAATCGAATAAATCACTAATTTATTACAGCTCTTTTCCAGTGTGCCAGAAGAACCAAATGATGCTGCTAAGCGTTTGTTTGTAAGCAGTAATTCATCTGTTCATTTTTTAAATAATTTAATTGAGCGTCTCCCAAAAATCTTGTTTGCCACACTGTTTATAGAACATATGAGTTGTTGACTTCAATCTTGGCCATAACAACACTGCTGAAAAAGGCAGTTTAAAGCAGCCTACTGTAAGCTGGTTCTCCCAACCTGCACGGGTTTGTCTGGTTTGCAGATTTTAGAGGGGTTTGCGGCACTTGTCAGCTGATTAGGCTGGAAGACCATTTGCCTGACCTACTAAAGACTAGTTTGGGCAGTCTTGGACACAAGGTAAGAACATTTGAAATGCTGGATGTACAGTCCACAATAAAACACTGATAAAGAGTACAATAGAAGTGGAAAGAAGAGGAAAGGGTTAAATGTTCTAACCGTCCTGTAGTGTTGTAATGGCTTCACTCTCTTCGCTGTAGTCACTGTCTCCAATATCATTAGTGGCCTTCACTCTGAACTGATAGGAGGTGAAGGGCTTCAGTCTGAAAAAAATAATAAAAATCACACACAAGTCAAAACACAGGCTGCTGCTCGGAATATGCTTTGCGTAAAGCCAGTATAAAGTTACAAGTATCGTCACTTGTTTATGGAACATCTGTGCAGTGAAGTACTGTGACTTTATGCATGAAGGACTTTCAAGTCAAATCACACAAAACTTCCCAGCAGATGTCTTTTGTACCTGTCAACAATATAGGAGCTGGACTCGTGGCTAACAGACGCAGAATGAACCGTCCAGTTCTTCTCAGGCAGCTCTCTGACCTGAACCGTGTAATACCGGACCGGCGATAAACCGTCGCTGCCGGGTTCCCATGACAACTGCACGCTGCGTGCCTGTACGTTTTCCTGAGGGACCGTGGGACGGCTGGTGGGCTGGGGCCGAGCTGGAGGTCAAAGGTCAAGCATAAGCACATTAAAAAACTTAAACAAAGACAAATATTTAAAAGTTTTTAATCAAGCCATTATGACTTTTCTTATTTAATACAGCGTATTGCCTTTTATTGCAATTTATCTGTTTAAACATATTGCTTTTAACTGTAACAGAGATCTTTTTTTGTGCTCTGAAAGCGGAATTAAATGACATACATTACAAATATATAATCTGATACATGAAAATAAAAAAAATAAAAAATCATCTCTCAGGTATATTCAAATTTTTGTCCATAAAGTTATCTTTAGGAAGTGATTGTGCCATTACCCTGAGACTAGCAATAGCAAATGGTGATTTAAAAAGCTTCAATGTAGTTTAATTTTTAGTTTAGCTATACATTTGTTAAGCAATTTTACTTGTAGCCTGGGAAGTAAGCTTTAAATTATCATTCCAACACTGGTTTTATATGTGCAGTCATACAATATGATCAATGCTTCACTGCACACTTATAATCCTGCAGAACACTGTTAACATTTTTAAAAATACATTATGAAACTCATATTACACTATATAAGAACACTTTACAACTCAAAACCTCTGATATCTACACTGGATCAGTGCACTGGATAAATAATCTAAAGTTTGATTATAATACTCTGTAAGTGGAATGTGCCTTTGCTTGAGTGGAAGTCAGTGCAGCAAAACTTTCTCCAGACGTTTCAAACCACACCAAAGCGGGTCTGGCTAGAAGGGATTGATTTGTTTTGAGCTTGACCTCAGTGGACCATAGACGTCTCCGTTCAGAGACATGAACACACAAACATGCACTTTAGATCTAATTACGTGAACCTGTGACAAAGAGATCATATGGATGGGGAAGGCACATGGATGCCTATTACTGTTTAATTTGAACTGTTTATAATTTATTTCTTGCTTAATGTCACACACTGTGATGTGTTGACATTAAGCATCTTGTTGATGTGTGACAACAATATGCATTACCTCTCTTTTCGGTGGTGACCACCAAAGCCTCCGCTGCCTCTCCCCAACCCTTGCGTGTCTGCGCTCGGATACGGAACACATACACGGATTCCGGCCTCAGTCCGGTGACGGTATACTGCCGTGCGCTGGAGTTCAAGACGTCAAACGTGGCTGTGTTGCTATTGGTGGAGTTCAGGCGGTATGTGATCTGATAGGCTGGAGAGGGAACCGATGACATCACAGAGATCAGGACAGGACAAACTGTGCTTTTCCTTGCGTGCAGTTGAGGAAATGTAACATATTTGGCTCGTTTCTTGATTAGAGGAAACGCAAGCTAATGAACAAAGGCAAAACAAATGTGATTTTGTTTACAATGGGGACGCTTAGGAGTGGAAGCAATTACACTATTTTTTTTTTGCTTGTAAGATGTTTTTTTTTTTTAAATAAATTAATACTTTTATTCAGCAATAAAGCATTAAATTGATTACAATTGACAGTACAAAATATTTCTATTTCAAATAAATGCTGTTCTTTTAACTTTCAGTTGATCAAATAATCCTGAAAAACAGTTCCTACAAAAATACAGTTTCTACAAAAATAACATTGAAATAACAGCAAAACAGTTTGCAAAATTGATAATGATAAGAAATGTTTCTTGAACACCAATCAGCACATTAGAATGATTTCTGAAGGATTATGGATGGAACAGTGAAGACTGGCATAATGACTGCAGAAAATTTAGCTTTGCCATCACAGGAATAAATTAGAAAAGAGCTATTTTAAATTGTAATAATATTTAAGAATTTTTCAGCTTTTAGTGTACTTTTTTCAAATAAATGCAGCATTGGTAAGCATAAAAGACAATAAAAAATCATACAGATCCTACACTTTGAAAGGTAGTGTAAGTATGGGTGAAAAACAGGATAAATTATTTTAATGTGATATTTGTACATTTTTGTGTATATTTGCACATGTAGGATCCGTTAACAGTCACTATTGAAAGTATTCAGGGATGTTTAACCTCATGATGGTAAAAAGATGTCATTCAGAAGACAAGCATTTGAGTATAAAAGCCAGAAAAAAGAAATGCATGCACACTCAAATGCACAAATAAGTAAACAAACTCTTGTACCCAGTATGATGCCGTTGGGTTGGGAAGGTGGCTGCCAGATGAGTCTGACAGAGGTGGTCCGGACTTCAGGAAAAAGAATGACGACAGGCGGCCCGGGCACTGATAAAAGAACATCATGAACTTTTAAAGACACATCTGATTATTTAATAAGGCAACTATTTATTTGTTGTGTACTGTCATGCTCACCGTCATCAAGGGTTCGCTCCAGGATTGAAGGAGAGCTGGGTCGGCCGTCTCCGATGCGGGTGAAGGCGAGCACCTGGATCTCGTACAGAACATACTTGCCTAGTCCGGTTAGCTGAACACTGTGACTGGCGTTTCCTTCCACTGTCCAGAACTGTAGAGGAGCGTCTGAATCCTTCTCCTTATACACCACCTGAAAGTGAAAAAGAGACTGTATCAACCTTATTTTGCGTTGCGGAAATAAGCTATTTTCTTTGAATGTGCGAGACTTCCGATTCATTAGGTGAATAACTAAAAGAATAACAAGTTTCAGTAAATGGTCAAACTACTTGTGCTACAAACCAGTCTGATGATTAGGATAAGAAGTTAAAATAATATGATAACAAAATATCAGTTTGCAATATAAGCAGTTTTAGTACAGGTAAAATATCTGAAGCAAATGTCAACGAAAGCCTTGAAAATTAAAGTTACAAATGACCGCAGCTTATAGTTTTAATGAACGGTGTTTTTTTTTTCACTTGAAAGTGCTCACAGACCTTATAGCCCAAGATGAGTCCATTCCGGTCAGGTTTGGGAACTTCAAACCAGCGGACCAGAATGCTGCTGGAGGTAGTGGCAAATGCAGAAACATTTGTGGGGCCACAAGAGGGTACTGCATTAAAACAAAGGAAGATATAAGGGTTCATACAGATGAATGTGTTGGTTAAAGGCATATAAGGCTAAATTAGCCTTTCTGAATACCTCTATGCATTCCAAATCCTTAATGGGGTTGAAATATGTGCCTTATTTATATGTGTGTGTGTGTGTGTGTGTGTACGCGTTTTTGTGACAAATGAGGACATACATTTGTATAATGACAAAGGTATGACAGGTATTACAAGGAGAAGGTGACTTTTCAGGACATTACCCCATGTCCCCACTTTTCAAAACGCTTATAAATCACACAGAATGGAGTGTATTGAAAATCTGAAATAGCACAAAGTCTCCTGTAAGGGGTAGGTTTAGGGGTAGGGTTGGTGTAGGGCAATAGAATATATGGTCTGTACAGTATAAAAACCATTACGCCTATGGGATGTCCTCACTTTTCACAAATGTAAACCTGTGTGTGTGTGTGTGTGTGTGTGTGTATAGGGGGTGGGGGGTAGGGGGGGATTAAGTGTGTGCTGATAGCCGGACACATATCACAAATGCAGTGGGGCCTGAGAGACACCAGATTTTGACCATAATTGGGGGAGTAACACAGAGAATCACTCTCCGGCACAAATCCCCGGACACAGAGGGCATGATTGCAGGAATCTGATTGGCTAAAGAAACAACAGGGAGTCATGTGTACAACCCCATGTGTTACCAATTTCCTTAACACCCACTTATTAATCCCAAACCTGTTTCCCTGAATTCTGGTAACCATGGAGAAGAAGCTGAGCAGAAGGATAAAAACGGATGATCCAGAGGAAGTCGGGTTTGCTTCCTTTTCATGGGATAGGAGGAATGAAAAGCCTTGCATGTACAGAATGTGCAGATATGTGCCCATTTAAGCCAGTTTAAACAGGAAATCCTGTGCCCATGTACTATATATGATAAATGATTTAAGACATGCATTAACCTCAACATGTGATCAATGTACATTTTTTCCATTCCATATTATAAAATGGACAGTTCCGACTATATATATATGTGTGTGTGTGTGTGTGTGTGTGTGTGTGTACTTTAATTTTTGTTTAAGTTTCATTTTTCATCTAATATGTATATTTTATTCAATTTTATTTCAACATTATTTCAATTAAATAAATAAGCTACATAAATTTTGCCTTGTCAACTTGCTGCAATGAATAAGTTTAATATTAAGTTCTAAAATCACTAAAACTATATAGAAAAGCTGTACAGAAATATATATATATAAAAAAAAAAAGAAGACAAATTTACTAAATATATATATAAATAATACTAAAATAGCATAAGTCGTCAAGCGAGACCAATCACTGCTCAAATGTGTCTCCTCTGACCACTTATGATTTAATTTCAAGGAGACCTGTCAGACAGGAACTAACTCTTCTTTCACACCCTCGAGGCCTTATTTAATAATCTATTAATGTAATAAATAAATAAATGTATGTGTCACCTATAAAAGGTGTAGGGGTTGAGGCCGGAGACCTCCAGAGAGCGAGCATCAGGCTCGTTGGCCAGCTGATGGACCATCACCCAATCCTCATTCTCTCCAATGACACCCACCTGACAGAGATTCATGCAAAAGAGAGATTCATGCAAAGATCAAATCGAGAATGTTACAACTTCACCCGCATGAATAAAGAGTGACTGACCTGGGCCTCCACTTGCCAACGAGAAATTGAGGTCTTGCCGTCGTATCCCGGCTTGAACTGTAAGGTTACTGATCGAGGGCCAATGTTTGAGATGGCCAAGTTTGTGGGAGGCCCGGGAAGCTCTGTATCGGGAGAGAGAAACGTGTGTTTTAGTTCACAAACCATCAATTTTTTGAGTTTGATTTAGTTCTGAATATAATTTTGCAATAAATCCTGAGTAGAAGAGATGGTTTCAGGACTCAAACATTAAAGAAATGTTGAATTGTGAAAATGTTTAGCTGTGTTATGCCGCCCTCTTTTGGTAAGATGAGGCTTTGTATACAGAGAAATAAATAAAAAATAAATGACAATTTTCACCTGTGAAAGTTTCTTATTTCTTCAGGAATTAAAATTTTGGCGGTTTTTACATCTAGAGGCTGCACAATGTGGTGGCATCTTGGAAAACTGATTTTTGATTTTTACTGCGAGTGACGACACATTGACCGTTCCAAAATGTACCGAGCTCTCAAATATGGCAACTACTTATTAATATCTATGTTTTTCACAACGCAACCATAGCAAGCAGAGTTGAATGTCTGCATGAAACGAATGAGAACTGTGGTACAAATCATTCCACACTCATAGCTGCTACCCAGCTTATTATCAGAAGATGAAATATGCCTCCAATAAAACACTGTGGGAATGTCATGAAAGCAGCAGGGTCTGTATAACTTTGGGTAATAAGGGTAACATGGTGCGACACTATGACCGTTCAGGATTCATACATCTTTAAACGTCTACATTTACTTTTAAATGAGTGCAGCTCGTGCATGGTTTGAGTCAGGAAGCCATAGACGGTCTAATGAAGCAATAAAGGAGAAACGATCTCTGTCGTGGGAGTCGTAATCGTGAACTCCACGCAGCCAGGGCCTCCTCCTGTCAGTTATTCTGCGGCTCTGGGCTGCATGTGTTGGTGCTGCATCGGTTCAATAATGAGAGCTCGGATATTTAACTTTATAACTCTCTGCAGTCCTTTTAATGGAGCTCTAAAACCAGTGGTGGTCTAACGCTGGTTCAGGGGAACTCATGGAAAGAGTATGTGTGTTTTCTCTTCTCCTATTAAGACTTTTCTGATCATGTTTAGCCTTTTCTGGTCTGGTTTTAATGTACAATTTGCCATAACTGTTTTGACTGGTTTGTGCGTGCATTACTTTACCTGGTGGTACTCCTGAAGAGATGGTTGAAGATGACAGCTGACCCTGACCCTTGGAGGTCATTCCGGCCACCTCAATGGTGTAAGTGGTGATAGCGGTCAGTCCAGTGACTCTGTATTCCAGAGTAACATTAGGCAGGTAGTGTGTAACCCGCGTGTTAGTACGGTTATACTCCTCCCATGATATACGATACCCTAGGAAACAAATATTATATTATATTTAATATAAATTATATGAAATTAAATATAAATACACAAAATGCATTGTATATTAATTCCAGAAAAAGTGAAATTAATTTAAATAAAAAAGAAATTAATAAATAAATAAAATTTAATATGTATTAATTGAATACATATACAATATAAGAAAAAAAAACTAGTAAATTAATACTAAACATTAAATATTATATGTAAGGTTAATACATGATGTTTAGGTCGCCTCCTCATGTCAGTTATTCTGCGGCTCTGGGCTGCATGTGTTGGTGCTGCATTGGTTCAATAATGAGAGCTCGGATATTTAACTTTATAACCCTCTGCAGTCCTTTTAATGGAGCTCTAAAACCAGTGGTGGTCTAACGCTGGTTCAGGGGAACTCATGGAAAGAGTATGTGTGTTTTCTCTTCTCCTATTAAGACTTTTCAGATCATGTTTAGCCTTTTCTGGTCTGGTTTTAATGTACAATTTGC